ATATAGATTATCTTGGGGAGATCAGTATGCTGTTTTGTATGTAAATCATCCCAGTGGAAGAGTGTACGGTGGGTGCAATATGTGACTGTTGTAAGAAGGCAATTCTTACTCTTGCTAGTAGATCTTGCAAACACATGGATCCCGTAAAACCTTTTGAACTATGAACAGTAGGAAAGATCACTGCCCACCTACAAAAACACACTTGCATGCAGAAAATGTGTTTACACATTATAGAAACAAAGAGGTATCTAGACTACAGTTGTGTATCTATCAAAAATAAGGCCATTTGCTTTATCTTGTAGGGTTTTTTTCTCCATCCTTCCTTTCTTTGACAGATCACGAGATACCCATTAAAATGCAATATGATATAAGTGATAAACTTGGCACACTAGATGTTTATGCTGTAAAATGAAGAATTACAGCTTTTGTTTATGTATTACCCAGTACTTAAAGGGACTTAAGAAGAGAGGGTTTGCTTGACTTAACCCTCTGAACTGGAAGGCAGTCATATGATAGCACAGTTAGCTTGAGATAGAAGACAAAGTGTATGTATCCTTCATGTTGGCAAGCTATACCTTCCAATCAACAGAAAGGGCAGAAGAGCAGCTCTTGAGTACTTTTCTACTTTTGACAAATAAGGAACTGAAGGAGTAATGTCAAGTCTAAGGAGGAATGACCGTCTTGCAGAGGACGATTGTTTAGCACAGAGCAAGCAGTGCAAAGACTGTATGTTATGCTTTCCTAAGTGGCTTTGCTAGGCTGTGCCAGCAGCACCTCCTGCAGCTGCAGCCCCTGGGGAACTGTCATTCCCACCTCTGCTTTGCTGCTTCTGTAATGCTAATCAAAATGTTTCTGGTTTCAAGTAATACTTTTGGGCAAGAACTATTTTTAACCGATACCGTATCAGTGACTAACCAAGAGTCAAGTGAATGGTAGTGCTGGCATACTGAGGGGTGGGTAGTGGCTGAGGAAGGATACCCCTTAAGAAAGCACTGTTGCAATGGAAAAGCTTTGTGGAAGTGCACGCTGAATGCCGTTAATAATACCTTCTCTTTAAGGGTTTAATAACTCTCTCTTACCTTTCTGAAAATTGCTAACTACAGTTGCTTGGTTCTATATATAGTAGCTGGGGGGGAAGCAGAAAAAACTTCGAGTGTGGCAAGTATAACTTGTCCAAATGCAACTGAAGTTGATAGGAAGGCTTGTTTGATTGAATAGAATGGCCCAGACATTCAGAATTTCCAACCTTAAGTTCTGTGTGATGACGAAAGTTGAAATTCCCCTGTGGTTGAACTGCATCTCTGGTGTTATATCATAGATTTAAGAGGTCTCTTATGTTTTAGGAAGATCTGAATTTTCACAGATTTGATGTGCCTTATGAAAAGGTCTGTAACTTATTTTGTATTCAGACTTATGAGTTTGTTAAAAAAAAAAAAAAAAAAAGCAGCCCACAGTTTAGACCATAAAGCTCTTCTAATGGCATTATATTTATTAATGAAAATTGCCATCATTTTAACCATGCCTTTTATTGTTTTAAGGTAGGTTTGTTAGTGTTTGATCTTAGGCACTGATTTCAGTGTGATTTGAGTGGAAAGTCTGATTCCTGAACAGTAAAGCAAAAAGTCCCACTGTTATCTAGCTTCACTGACTGAATTTAGAATATACATTTAAATTGATGATAGCTGTATGCCTGCTCTGTATGTTCTTACTTGGAGCAGAAATCAGAGCCATAAATGTCAGTGGTCTAGTCTGCAAGAATCCTGTAAGGATAAGAAGATAAGGGAGAATATTTTGAAAGTGTTTATTGATTTGAAATTACAAAGTCATCTTAAAAACTACTTTGCTTCCATCTTATTGTCATTGGCAGTACAGCTCAGTTTGTCAAATTACTGCTGCTGCAGCGACTGCCAAATAAGTATCGTCTTGCCGGCCTGAGTCGTCTTTCCCCATCCACTCCATTTTGCAACGCTTCACTCACATTTAAGTTTAAAAGAACCTATTTTTAAAAAAATGGAAAATACATAAATCAGGAGGGTTTTTTTTGTATGTAATACAGTGTTCTAACTTGTCCACTGATCTTGTCCCTACTCTATTCTAGTGCTGCAGCCTTTTTTTTCTAACATCTCTAATTAGCATATTCTGGGTGAAGTCATGCGCTGTATCTGCCATAGCATGAAGTGTTCCTAGGTTGATGGATGGCTGGCTTTAATGATCTTGATTCTTGCCCATGGGAAAAGCCAGAAATGATGCAGGTATAATTTAGATAACTCTGGGATGAACTACCTAAATTGAAAACCTTATCCTCCACTGCCTTTGGCAAGAATCTCTCCACCGTGTTAATCATTTTTCTCGCTTTAAAGGCCTGCATTAGAGGGTTTCTCAAAGTTCTTAGAAGGAAGTCCCATCCTGGAGTTGATGTGGTAATGTCCTTGAAAACTGCTTCTTTTTCCTTGGCTCATGGGCTAGAAGTGTTGCTCTGTATTATACTCTTTAATGTGTTGCACAAATCTAGAATATAGATTTAGGCAAAGAAGAAAAAAATTCTTGGGAGACCATAGAAAATTTTTCTCGTGAGATGCGATGTGGTGCTACTCTGCTGTAAATTTAGATCGTATTGCACCATTTATTAATTGGGTCATGTATCTGATGCCAAGTTGCGGATCATGGGTATTTGATGAAATGATAACAGAACTTGAAAATCTAGGGTTTATGTTTAAGAGCAATATAGGTCTTACAAATGTTTGAGAATCAGAAACAAATTGTTGCAAGCACACTTTGATTAGGAATGTATTTTGCTTTTTATTATTTTCAGTATGGATTAGCTTAATTTTTGAGTCTTCATAGAGCAGGTTTTGTAATTCAGCACTTTTACTGCAAGTCAGAATTGAAATCTATGCAACCATTTTCTCCTAGAGTCAAAAAAGAGCATACTGAGTTTTAATGTTATAACAAATACTACACAGTAGGACTCTTCAGTCAGTCTGGATTGTGGATTCATGAAAATAAAAGGAAGGATTCATTAGGCTATCTGTCAGAACTGTAAAATGAAATTAAGTTATGGTCTATGTTTCTCTTTAGATCTCATAAATGGAGCTCAAGAACAGTGTGAATTGCCTCCTATGGATGGTTTTCCTCACTGTGAAGGGAAAATAAAGGTAACTGAACTGTTTTGAATCTTATTATGTGTGTTCTGTTAAAAACTGAACATATGTTGCAAGAGGTCACTACTCAGACAATGGCATAAAGCAAGAACAACTGGGTCAAAAAAGAAAAGAGGATATTTAGGAGTGGGTGTCACTACAGCACTGCTTACCTTAAGCCTTTAACACTACTGCTGCAAAGAAGTAAAGTGGCATCCTGTTAAGACAGGCATAAAATGCCATATTATATTAAAATGCTATACTATTTAATAAAATGCCTTATTATTTGAATGCTGTCTTGTTATTCAGAAGCTTTCTTCTCCTTTTTGAAAAGCCCTGTTTTCTTCCCCATTATGAGTCATTTGGCGTTCCCCAACCCCAGGACTGGGATTCTGTCTGTGCCTCACTCCAGTCCTTTCTCTGTTTCAGCAAGACATTTGTTTACACTTCTTTCCCAACAGCTCTGTCTGGTTCCTCCCTTCCCCTTTTCTGTTAAAAGCATTCTGCCGCTTCTGCTCACAAGCTAGGCACTGCACTAGGTGTGCAACCAGAACTTTGGGTTCACAGTTGAGTCTACATAAATCCTATAATTTACGAATAATGCAGTTGGAAAGGCCAGGTATTGAGAGCCATTAGACTTTGGCTGGAAAGAAAAAAAAAAACCCAAAACCAAAAAACAACCCCCACGCCTTGAAACCAAAAAGCAAAACTTGCAGAGATGAAGGGTTCCCCCCAACACATTTCAAATATAAGGATACTATTTTTGTAGTAAGGGACAAAAGTAAAATCGCTGGACTCTTAAATATCAAGTATTACAATTTATTTCTGGAAGTGAAAAAAAAATAACTACCAAAGTATATGTGAAATTATGTTGCCTTTTTTCTCTAAATAAAATTCTTGGGCAATAGTATTTAAAAAACTGAAAAACTGTTAAATCTCTGGTCTGTGTTTTGATCCATTTTGACAAACTGGCTGCATAGTGGCTATGTAATACATTATTTGAATATTAAAATATGAATTTAAATGAATTGCTTCTGCAGAAATGGCAGATTCTTGGCAGAATCAGGCAGATTTCAATCTTGGTAGCTAAAATGATCTGTTAAATTGCAGAGCAAGTGTAACACGGGGGAGCAATGCAGTCAACTCCAGCCACACCCATATGTCTGGATCCTGATTATATTTTCCTTTTGATATTTGCCTCTGCTTGCCTGGCTACCAGTTTGTATAAACTGTGCTCACTTCTGTTATGTAGTTCCTTCCCCAGTGTAGCTGAATGCAGAGGTGGATTGTGCTCCAAAATATTAATGAAATTCCTTTTTTGTTATTTGTGATTTTATCTGGTTGGGTATAGTCGCTTGCAGCTTTCCCCTGTGATTCCTGAGTTCAATGTGAAATAGTACAGAGTTATTACATCGTACTTAAACCTAACAGAGTATGTTTTTGTTCTGTTGCAGTGGATGAAAGATATGTGGCGATCGGATCCCTGTTATGCAAGTTACGGTGTAGATGGGTCCACATGCTCCTTTTTTATTTACCTCAGTGAGGTCAGTAATCTTTTAATCTGCAGAAGGGGAACATCATAGTGCCTCGATATTTTTGATAACTGTCGGCAAACTTTTCTCAAAAGAAATCATAACTTCAGAAAAATTCTCTACAGAGGAAAAAGCTATTAAAACAGAATTATTATGAAGTGTGTTGCTATTATTCATAAGTCCTCCAGGTGTTTCTAGCCTGGGGAATTCTAATGTTTATAACTGAAGTGATGTAAACAGCAACTGTACAGGGAGTCCACACTAGTTATCCTGTTTAACTGAAGCATGAATTCAGTCATAGATCCTTGCCTCTGAACAGGAGGCCTGTTCAGTCCTCTGAGGCATTTGGGATGTAAAATTTGGAAAGTGGAACTAGATGGTACATTCTCCTAGGAAGCATGGCCACTGTTCATGAATTGCAGAGTCTGTTAAAAAAAAAAAAACAAAACAACCTGAAAGCCACATTTTCGAGTGAAGTTGCAGAGATCTTGGCGCTTGACCTGTTCTTTATTATTACTAAGATTTTGATAACTTACAGCAGCTGATCTTGGAAGTAGCACTGATATCTGGTGGCTTACTGCTTGTAAAGAACTGTGAGAGCCAATGTGGTTGCAGAATTGCAAACTGGTATTAATTGTGGAGTCTCTGCAGGATTTGGGGGGAGGGGCTGGGTTTTTAAATTACGTATCTGAGACTAATACAGTAAGTGTTACATAAGTAACTCAGTTGTAATGAAAGCAGTTTCTGTTAATTTACTCAGTTGACTGTCATTGAAGTTTTTGGGGCATTGCTTTAAGCACCAGTAATAGTTAAATGCATATCCAAAACACAGATCTGAAGAAATAAAAAAGGCTGGGTTGAATCATGAATTTGACTCATTCCATTGCTATTACCAAGTGTTGATTTATTTATGGGTATAAAGCTGGGGAAGTAAAAGATATAGGATGACTATATTATTTATCCTGTTATTTATCATAGAAAGTAGAGATATGGTTTCATAATCATATGAAGTTGATCTAAGTTTCTACTAAAAGGTTATGTTTTAGCATCAGTGGAGTTACATTTGCGCAGTAGTATTCTGTCAACCAGATGGTGCTTCATGTTTTTAATGCAGATGTATCCTAAAAACGAGGATACATGTCAACTGAATGTGAGAATCTAATATTCTTAAATGGCATTTATTATTTTGTATTTATGTTAAACCACAGTATTTTCTGTGACAATCTTCTTGGATCATCAGTTTCAGAAACTCAGTTCATGCTGTTAGTTTTTTTCACAATTGATCTTTCAGCTCATCCTCATGGCAGAATGCAAGCAGAGGTATAGAGGCCATATGCTTGTTTTTTCAAGGGTCTAGGGACTTGAAATTTTTCTTTAAGCAGCAATCTTGAACTTGGGCAACTTCTCATTTCATAATGGAACAACAGTACAATTAGTCTGTGTGTATATTTGGGAACTTCAGACAAAGGTCTTGTACTTTTTTTTTTAAGTGTTCTCCCATGACAGAATGTAAAACTAATATTGGGTGAGCATGTTATTAACCTTGAGTTTAAATTTGGCATTCTTAATCCTATGATTAATTCCATGATTAATGCCCAGCAGCAGAGGTTGAAAGCTTAAATGTTTGCGAATGCAAGCATGAAATGAAATTCTAATAACACTACAATGATGTGGATTTATGAGGTGTGTTGGCTGCTAAGGATAACTTGGGAATGCTGTTGCGAGAGTAATTTGTCAAAGTGGACAGTGATGAAGAGTTGACAGTTTATCGTAGGGTTGCACAACTGAATGATGAATGTGTCTACAGAGCTCTCAAGTCAAAACTGCTGATTTAAAATATTAAAATGCATTAGGGTACTGGAAGGATATTACTGTTAAGATTTTTTTCTTATAAGGTTACAGTATAGGAATAAGATGGTTGTGTACACATCCTCTGCCTGAAAAGGCAATACATACATCAAATTATGCACAACCCTAGTTTGAAATGACAGAATATGCATCAAATTGTGCATATGTCTACTTTCGCTCTTAAAATCACCTCTGCAATCTAGTGTGACAAGCGCCTGTGCTCCTTCATACTCTTTTTGGATCTACTTTTTTCGTGTGAAGCAGTTCAGTTAGGGTATTATGTTACACTCATCTAGCACTTTTATAATGCAATTCTAAACTTGTAAACAAAGGAGCCAGAAATATTACATTTGGGTGTGTAATATGGGTCAGAACCACAGAGGCACAAAGTAACTTGCCCACAGTTCATGCAAAGGTTTAGAAACAAAGCTTGGGGTACCTGTCACATGTATTTGTTTTGTTTCCACCACGTGTGTCTGCAAAATAGAAGCAGTGCAGTCAAAATCTGGGCTGCCTCAAGTCATCTCTTCTGAAGAGCCTGCACGAGCGCAAGCATTAGCAGTTCTGCCTCCTCTGGTTTGCTTTAGATGGCACCCCTGCAGGGACACGAGAACAGCTAGCTGAACACTCTTCTCTTCTTCTGTCTTGGCTGCTTGGGCAGAACAGGAGGCGAGCATGGCAGCAGCAGGAAAGCAAGAAGCAATCCAGCACATCCAGGCTTATGTTTTTTATTTGAAGCTGTCCCCTGTACAGACTCACAGATAAAGCTGCAAGCATTTTTGCACTTCTGTCTTGCTGCTTTACTGCAGTCACTGGATCACTCCTGGTGGATGATATGCAACCGTACAGTCCTCATAACACTAATTGCGCTGGAGCCTTTGAAGACTGGAAGAGACACAAATGGCTTGAATAGCAAAACCAGACTTACATTCTCTTGAATAACAGAGCAAGACAGGGATTAGAAGTAGTGAAAATTGAAAAGCAAGTTAAGCTAACTCTTAAGGTTCCTGGATAGTTGGGGCTTGTTTCCTTTTAAGAGTTATACAAACTTGCCTATTGAGAAGAGTTATTTCCTTTTAACTTATTTCCTTAAACTTATAATTTAGTGATGAAAAAGCCAGTTGTTTAACACTGTAATCATGTCACTGGCACAGTTAAAATTTTCATGGATGGCATTGCCTCTGGGGAGAAATGCGAAAAAATTAATTTCTAGACAGTACAAAAATACATTTCACTGCAAAATGTCACTTTGCAGCTGAAGAATGAAGCTTTTAAAAATATCTTCTAAAAAATGAATTTTTCACACAGTTTCCCAGATTAACAAAAAAAAAAAAAGTGGAGGGTTCTTATCACTGCTTTTCTTTATTCAGATATGTGCTTTCTCCAAGAGAACTGCCTGCCACACAGGACTGGGACTGCTGCTGTGCCTGCTGGTCAGCCAGTAGCTGCAGTGCAAGTTACCACCACCCAGGGGCCATTACATTGACTTTTACCTGCTGGAGCTGGGCAGATCTCATTAAAATCCCAGACTTTGGATCTCCAGCTCAGCTTTCCGGTGCAAGCACAATGTTTGGTACCCATCTTGGAAGTGGATACAACACTTCAAAAGACTAAAACTGTTTCAAAGACCAGTCTTTGAGACTCTTGCCTGTTTGCTAGTATAGCACTGGAGAGAATTCTTGTTTTCAGTTCTTCAGACTTGATGGACACAGCGTGCTTTGGTTGCAATAGTATTTTTCTTTACAGTGTAACTTTTGCTTTGAGACATGGAGCAGAAAAACACAAACTGAAGGTGATTTTGCATGTGGGTTTGTTTCCAGACTGCAAGCTGTAGTCTGAGGTATTTTTTAGTGAAAACACCTGGAAATTGTAATTACACAGGTTCCCCAAATCCTTGTGGTTTTGCTTGTTTACTGCAGTTTGCTAGCATCTGTGTGGAAGTCTCCCTTTTTGCAACTTCTGCTGCACATGTAATCTAATTTCTGACATTGAGGTGGCTTAATGATTTGCATTTCTTCATTGTAATTTAACATCAAACCAATTTCTTTGAATACCACACAATTACTCAGAAAATTGACAAAAATAGTATTGTTGTCTGAAATGCAAAGCAGCAAAAGCTTGAACTTTTTTTGTCATCTTACATGTGTCCCTAAGAAATTGAAATGCTAATGGTAGTCAATACTTTGTTCCCAGATCATCCATTAGCATATTGGCCTGGATTTGGGTGATTTGGGGGTCAGTTATCTGTTTTACTTCAGTCATTTTAAACCAGGATTAGTATTTTTCTGTCTTGTTGGAAAAAGCATAGATGATAATGTAAGAAAGGAATCAAATCTCGTGCATATTACTGAGGTTAGATAAAAGACCAATTGTTGATTGATGGCTGTGTATAAAATTTTGTGTGGCATTGTCACTAGGACTGTGGGTAGCTAACATCCAATGTTTGGGATTGTCTTTGGAAACACCCAGATCCAAAGTTACCTGTACACTCCTCCATTTCATTAAACAGGCAGGCAGTCATCTTGCACACCACAGATTTTTGTAGCATCTTCAAAATTACTACCTATCACTGAGGAAATGCTAAACAAAAGATAGGTATTACAGCTTCCAGAGGAGTTACGAAAGTCACCTTCCCAATGGGAGCAGTTCTTTCACAACAAATTCTCAAATGGATTTTCTAAGTGAACATTATGAGCATTCTCTGCCTGCTTTTGTACTGCCTTAATAAATTTAAAGATGCACCTTCTTTCACCAGATATTGTAGCTCTGGTTGGGTTTTTTTGTTTGGTTTTTTTTTTTAAATTTCCCGTTCTGGGACTGATACAAGATACTTAATAGCAGCACTTCACCACGGATAGAATTACACTGAGCAATAATGTTGTTCACCTGATGTGCAAAGAAAGTTGTTTCATTTTCCCTGTAGATGGGCTGCACCTGCCCTTCAGAAGAGTCCAAAATGAAGATTATGCCAGGTGTTTAGAGAGAATACCCTTCAGCTTCTGCTTTATTAAACTCCCATTATGACTTTTTAAAAGCATAAAGGACTTCCTGAGATTTTGGATGTGGAGAACTGCTGGCAGTGTATACTTACATCCCTTGTGCTTAAGTCCTTGCTCTGCAATATAGTGTCTTGACTTCCCTTCAGTTTCACTGTGTTTCTGAGG